TGCTCCTGAAGCCTATGGAGGCTTCTCAAGCACTAGTAAATGGTGTATTTATAATAATTCAGAAACATAAGGTGTCTAATTACAAAAATATTGTGTAGATGAACACAATATTTAGCCACGAGATAAACGTGTCAAGGTCAATTTCAGGGCAATGAAAAACGTAACTCTGTATATCTGCTTTGTATTAAACATCATAAATTTCCTGTCTCTACTTGTATTTTTTTATTTCTCGTTAAAGCCTCAACAAACAAATGAAAAACCACAAGACTAAACAAAACCCCAACCCCCCCCCCCAAAAAACCCCAAACCCAAAATCACAATAGCAAAAACCAAAATGCACCTTTGTTTCCAGTAGGACAGAGCTTATGATAACCATCCACATAAGTGGATGCACTCTTGTTCTAAGCAAATAAACCCAGATGTCTGGAAAAGTTCCATACCTATTACTTGATTTGGCCATGTATATCTTAATATAAACAGGTAAGAGGAGGAGAGAAAAGCAGGTATAAATCAATATTATATGAAAGCTTTTAACACCGTGGAGAAAGTTTTTGCCCATCATAAACAGGCAATTTTTTCCTTTCACAAATTAGTTTCACTTTTATTCCCAATGCTACTGATTCTCCTGACATACACAAAACATTTTCAGTCTAGAACCCTGAGATTCTTTTAATCAAACAATTAAGCAGTATGTTTTGTTTCCCTTGCAACTCAATGACTGGAAGAAATTGTAACTCTGGAATAACAGTATGAAACTACAACAGTATAAAATCCTAATCAGTAATACATTTATGAAGCAATGAGGATATCCATCAGGTTGTGGCTCTGCCTTCCAAGAGATTTGAAAACACTCATCACTACTGGATGATGTAACAGAGTAAACCTATGTTAGTCACAGACTAACATAAGAATTGAGGATTACAATCTCTCTGTTAGATAAAAACAGACTGTAGGAGAAAAATTGTGGAAATAATGCAGTGTCTGGTCTGGAAGAGTTCCATGACAGCATGAGGAGAAAAGATGACATTTTAAAAAATTTTAGAACAGATGCAGCTCATACACGAGCTTTGAGTACAGTACCTAGGCTAAGCTCCACAGAGGATGAAAAGGCAAGGCCTTACATGTTTGAAGGCTCCAAGATCCTTCCTACCAGCACCAATACTATCATTCCATCATATGTACTGCTTGAACTACACAAGATTACTTGCCTGTTTAGAAGAGATGGAGAAACGAGGCTTCGTGTCTTCTGCTTCTCCATACACTGATAAAGGGTTATGGACAATCTTCCACTGTTCCACATATCCCTGCTTTCTGTTGCAAGACAGTGCCTGTTTGTGAATGGATATTTTCTCCGAAGTTCTGTCTAAGCTCTGGCCAGGGCTGAAAAAGGGGCAGCTCCTCACATCTAGCCTGAGGGGTGGAGTGGCAGGGCGGTTACCCAGAGCTCTGTGCTCTGTCAAAGAGCCTGCTATGCTTTTATTTGTTACTTCCATATACAAAGAGACTTCAATTAGCTGTATACTGTCTGAGACAAGAGAGCCTTTATAAGCTTCAAAATGGACTACAAGTACTGTTTCTGTTCCTTCACTAATGTGTGGGACTCTCCCTCCCATGGGATATACAACAGCTATTGTGATATTCAAGAGAGCTGTATCGGAGTTCTACCTGGAGCCCTGCTTTTACATGGGGTATTTATAAAACTAGCTAATTTATAGACCACTCAAGTTTGTCTCAAGAAACAAGGTAAGGTATCTTTCAAAAGATAATTCATAATGAACTCTGTGGGTGCTGTATTACTTTCAAGCTATGTAAAGAAAGTAAAAGGGTGATGAACCCCCGTTCACCAGCACTCTCTGAGTCCGACCATCAGCCAGTTCCTAACTGAGCACAGAGTGTCCCTGTCCAAGCCATGGACTGCCAGCTTTTTCAGGACTGTGCTGTGGGAGACTGTGTCAAAGACTTTGCTGAAGTCCAGGTAGACATATCTACAGCCTTCCCCTCATCCATCCACCAGGTGGGTCACCTGATCATAAAAGGATATCAGGTTGGTCAGGTAGGAGCTGCCCCTCTTAAATCCATGCTGGCTGGCTCTGATCCCTTGTCCATCCTGTAGGTGCTGTGTGATTGCACTCAGGATGATCTGCTCTGTAACCTTGCCAGGCACCGAGGTCAGGCTGACAGGCCTGGAGTTTCCTTGGGTTAGGGCGTAGTTAATGAAAGGGAGACAGATACATAACACCACTTAACTAATTTTGCCTAGCAAAGTGTTTTCACCTGAAAAGAAAATTAGAATTCTAGGGATATCAGAGCACCATTTCATACAAGGTTTTATAAGGCTTTATTAAAGACCATGCCCTTCAATAAACAGCTTAAAAATCAGATGCATTCAAGATACAAGACACAAAGTTTACAAGAATAACTTAAGGAAGAACACACAGTTTTATCATTTTTGTACATATGGACTGGATGTCACTGCAGTTCTTGACTACAGAATATAAAAACCCACGTATTGTTCTTTTAAAATGTATACTTTTGCGCTTTTCTAAACCCACAGCAGAATCCCTTGGTAAGTGCTAACTACACTGAATACTATTCTCCACAGGGAAACGGGGAGGAAATAAGACAGTAATATATCCAGATAATTGGTAACCAGGTTACAGCATCCTCATTACCAATGTGGAACACAGATAAGCAGCAAAGCAGAGATGCAGCACAAAGCAATTTTGAATTCAGCGGTGATCTGAACTGAGACAAAAGGGGCAATAATCTTAATGGCAGAAATTAGTCCATGACTCCAAAGGCCTTAATCTGTTGAAAATCTCCAAAGAAATTTGGTAAAACTCCCAAATTTTACCAAGGGAAAAAAAAAAAAAAAAAAAAAAAAAAAAAAAAAAAAAAAAAAAAAAAAAAAAAAAAAAAAAAAAAAAAAAAAAGACCACGTTAGTATTTAAAAGAGCAAGGCTGCAAAGGAAAGTACTAAAAACTGGGGCTTTTAAGAACTCCTGCAAAATGCACACTGTTAGAGTCACCTTTATTGCATATGCACTAAAGCAGGTTCAACCACCAGAAAAGCTGCTTCTGTTCCCTTCAGATTCTTGGTCTCATTCAGCACACAAAACACAACACTCTTGGCTCTGAGCACAGCTTAGGGATTGGTAGCAGAAATAATAAGTAGTCTTCTTCACTTCTTGCCGAAGTCAGAAGGCACCAAAGCAAATAGATACAGTAAATACTTATGGTAGATACAGGCAATAAATAAAGAGTAGTGAAGGTGAAAGAGAGAAAATTATAATAATACTTAAAGTAAGATTCTAATTTGCCTCTGACAATAGAGGTTTCTGTGCTCTGGTGGGAAAAGTTACCCAATCAACATTCCTTAGAGATGCTTGCTAACAGTGAATTGCATGTTTTTTACCTGACCCACCTCATACACCTTTAACCTTAGTGTCCAAGTACATTTATGTTTCCACATAAAAGACAAGCCATACGGAGATGAGCACTTAACTTGCAGCATTCAGTGCACTTTGAGCCTCATGTTTAAAGGGGCATTCTCCTTTGGTCTAAGCTAGAGTAATTGTTTTCAGTGTTCCATTAAGTGAGTATCTAAGCCCAACATTTGAGAGATGACACATTTAGAATAAAGCAGGAGAATCAAAATAGAGAAAGACACTGAAAGCCAAAAGCTTTTCCAAGGTAAATCCTAACAACATTGATGGAAACCATTTAACAAGAAGGTGTTCAGTAGATTAACCTATAACTGATTTGCTGAAGCTGTTCTCAGGAGGATATCTACCACTATTATTTAAGAGTTGGGAGAGTAAAGGGCAAAGCCACAGCAACTGAACCATAAAGAGATGTCTTGAACTGAGTAGAAGATTCTTTTATTACTAAAGATAATTTTATTCTGTGTTGATGTTATTTGATTTTGACAACTATTAAATGAGGCACATTAAACAGGAGAGTGGTTTGGGTTTTTTTTTTAAGTCAAAACTGCAAAACTATTATTGCATCAAAATCCATCATCAAATTTAATGAAAACTCTACTATCAAGAACCTGCCTGAGAAGACAGTCACAGCCTAAGCAATAAAACTATATCTATATATAAATTTTCATTTTACATCTTCTACTGAATAAAATTTAAATGAATGTCTGTGATTTTTATTCAGGTTTTAAACAAATTAGTTGGCTTCCTTCTATGTCCAGCACTTTCTGTGCAAACTCTCGAAATACATTTTTCTTTTAAATCTTAAGTGTTTTCAAATAATTTTGCACAAAAAAGGTTAAAGGTAGCAGCTTAGCTGCTATTTTCAGCAGCAAAGAATTAAGGCTTCAAAAATAATCCTTAATTAATAAAATTCATAGCTGGATCATATTAAATCTTTAACTGTATAATCATCTGCTAATAAGTACTTTTCCACGCTCGCGGTTTTTACAAACTGTATTGTGGCAAAAAGCCCATCCAGAACATTCATTCCTTTGATTAAGGATCTCCTTCACTTGAGCAGGCCAAGCTGTCTTGTAAGCCTCACTTGCCTGGGGAGATAGCAGGAATGATATCACACCTCATTCCTCAGATGGAGACAAAACCTACTTAAAATCACAGGGAACTCAAGTTTCCTGACAGTAGTAATTCAACATTATCAAATATCAGCAGAGAGATCGTGGACCAGTAAAACCACGCAAACAGATCAAGAGAAGAGCAAGATTTCTTCTTGTGGCTGTGATGCAGCTGCCTAATTGCTCCACGCTGATTTTGGACACTGAATGTGAACATGGGGACCCCCTGTTGGCAATTAAAATCTGGATGGCATTAAATCATTCTTGGATGATTTTTCATTATTTACTTCTTTTGGTATGATTAAAACAGGACTGCTAAAATCTGTTTCTCTTACATGTCTAAATTCACCATTTGTCTGTCCTATTTATAAACCCCTGTTGTGTTTGTTGCCTGTATACACAGTTCATTTTCACATTATTTAGGAGGAAGGGGGTATCTTACCAGGAATGGTTCTGTACAGCTCAGCCGGGCTGCTGACATTTTGGCTGGAGAGAATCCGCTGATGGTATAGTGGAGGTGCTGTCACTAAGGGAGAAGAAAAAGGGCAGTTCCTCTTCAGTAACAGCTAAAATGTTAATAGTGATATTAAAATGAATAAATGAATAGAGACAAACATTTTCTTACCATATGTCATCTCTGGTGACAGGGAAAAAACTGGCATGGATGTGACAGATTCCTTTCCATTTTCTGTTGTGGAGAAGATTTCTCCACCTATTTCATCTTGACAATTTACAACCATCTAAGAAAAGGCACAAAAAAGCAAAATTACGATGTGAAAATTCTCACTTAACCCTACAGTGCAGTGGGGCATCCTTCATCAAATTACAGCAGGTTTCTGTAATCAAATATAATACGATCTACTGTTCCAGCAGAGAGATCTTGGAACACTGAAAAACATGCAAACACACAGAATAGATAGGAGCAGGATGTCCTTGAACACTGAATTGCATTTCTGAGGTAACTGCAGTCATTTGTTCTTGCCATGATGCAACTGCCCGATTGCTTCACGTTGATTTTGGACACCG